ATGCTATCAAAGTAGGTGCAGCAGCCATCCAACGCTAATCTACAGAACGCGATGTACAACGGGTGGCTGCATACAGTATATGTTACGGGGACCATTTGTTTCGCGGCTGATGGCTGTATAATCTGGTGCAAGCACAACTGTCCCGGGTCATGGAACGACTCGGACACCTCCATGGAATTTCGGTCGAAGCTCCTGGACCCGGTGTTGTGCCCAGATGCGAGGTGTCCGATTCTGCAATTCCGTGCTCTACAGCGATGGTCGGACGCATTTTAACGCCGCTGAAGGACGGCGACTTAGAGCGGATTCACCCTGCCCTGCGCAGTCAAGCACGCACCCTTCATAATGCTATAACTTCAGTGCGTCAAGCAGCCGAATGGGGCATGGGGAGTATACAGAAGGTATACTCCCGGCTTAACTTGCCGCTCCCCTACGATCCACAGCTTCGCGGTATGAGGCTGGACAATTTGTTTCGCCTTACCAACTACCGGGTGAGGACTGTCGGGATCTCGCAAATACGTACGACTTTCTCGGGTGTTATGGATGAAGGGGTAGCTTTGTAAGGCCGAATTGTTTAGTTTACTTTGAGCATGATTGGCATCTAGACTGAGATCTGCTTCTTAGTAAACCTTCTCAAGCTTTTGAGTTATGTTTCGTTTCGATACGCGACCATGCTAGTAATTTGACATCCAAAAGTATTTTTTTAATGCATTGTAGAGATCCTACAGGTAAGAACGACGTCACTTCGAAGGTGTCGGACTTTTGCCGCCTTCTTTGGTTTCCGATGGCCCCTAGGGCTTCTTGTTGATGCTCGCGATGAGCAAGATGAGCTCCTGCGTGCGAGCTCTGGCTTCTTCCTTGTCACGGCGAGCTTGTTCGTCCATCTCGATCTTGTCTTGACGACGGCGCTCTTCAGCTTCCGTCTTGTCCGCGAGGCGACGTGCCTTCTGGGTTGCAGCATCGTCACGACGTCGTTGATCCTCTTCCGCACGGCGGATTTCCGCCTTCCGCTCGGTCTCTTCGCGAAGTAGCAAAATCGTTTCTAGCATACTCCCTCCGCTCATTTTCGAGGCTGTTTCTAGCAAGTCCAGCTTGGATTTAAGCACCGTGGTCGCTTTAGCGGCTCGGATTCGCTTTGGTTTCGCGAAATTTGCCTCTATGATCTCCTTGTCTCCTTCCATGGCGGACTTGGAGCCCGTTTCGTCGCGCAACGTGGTTAGATCCACTCCTCCAAGTCGATTTGAGGCAGTCTGGAACTCAGCAGATCGGTTTTGGGCCACAGACGTTTTCGTCTGAGTTTCCGTCGTCTTAGGGAGCTTTGTGGGTCCCCGAGCCTTCGCCCGAGTCTTGGGTCCGGTCCGCGGCGATGCTGAAGTGCGTACGGTGCCAATATCCTCGTTCCGATCTTCTGAAGTAAAATGGGAGGCAAGCATATCTTGGAATCCCCCAGAGGTCGGCACGTTTTCGGTGCTCTGAAAGCTCCCATCTGCATTCACCTGACCGGCAGAGCTCTCCGCCACAACACCGAACCCCACAGACTCTAACGAATTGCCGCCAACAGCAAATGAGCCGTCATCAGGCTCGACGTCGAAAGCGAAATTCTCTCTGAAGTCTTCTTACTCGTTGTCGGCCCCGTCATCCATTACAACGACACTGGCCTTGTCGTCGATGGCGTTCTTTAGCTCTTTAGCGAGCTTGATGTGCGGCGGCATTTCAGAAGTCCCAGTCGGCTTCCTTGTGCTGTAGAGCACCTTGAATTTTCGCCGTAGGCTGTCAAACTCCCGCTCCGGCCACCCACGCATCCTACTTCCATTGTAGAAGCCCGCCAGCCTCTCCCATTCGTCCTTACCAAGGGGAAGGATGTCTTCAATGAGATTCAGCAAGCGGGAGATCTCTGCCATCTTGTAGCTTGCGCTACCCGACACCTTCGCCATCGTTAGAGCCACCGCTAGTGGCGTGAGACTGACGGCGTGGACTTGCTCGGCTTTGGCATAAAGCAGAATGAGAAACTTCGTGTACCGGCTTCAGTCGCTTTTGCTGCGCCCAGTTAGTGTCCAACCTGTGATTCGAAGGCCATATGCCATCTTCAACCACGTTGCTCTCCAAAACCAACCGAATACCGCGGAAGGAGGTCGTACCGAGTGTGACCTTGCAGAAACTAGGAATAGAGAACATCAACATGAACAACACATCTTGATTGAGTGCCGTCTTCCTGGAGTCTCGTACCTACGGAAGGTCCAATACCTCTACATCTCCCCTGTGAGTCCGTGACTCGCTCTCCGTGGCGGCTGCTACCTCGCCTGCTACCTCGCCTCGTCGAGCCTTGGCTCAAGGATCTTGCTTGTCTTGTATGTCTCTGTGGACACATCCATCGAGACCACAGCGACAGACGAACCACAAGTCGTCCCCATAACCAACGGTGACCTCCTCTCCGCGAAAGACGCGCTCTGTCGTCGCAACCACGACCGTCGTTCGGTGCCCATTGCTGACCTCCAAGAACTCTGCAACCGGCCGGCACGAGTGGTTCGCGAACCGCATAAATCCCCCCATGGTCTCTGCATTTATTGCGACTTGAACGCGGTGGGCCGGAGATTCGGGACGTTGCTTCATCACCAATCGATATCCGTTGTTCCGCGGGCGCCGAGCTCGCGAGACACTGAGGTGCTCAAGCTCGCCGAGATATACTGCCCGATCACCTCCCCGACGCCGATGTCCTCCGCCGCAACCACCGCCAGCGATGATGTACGCACGTTGCGCCCCAGGAATACCTTCGGAGACTCTGCCAGCCGTTTCCGCACTTTCCTTCAATGGGCAGGTGTTGACGTTACAGAATACATCCATGAGCGAGTTGCGACAGACTCCGACCCGTCACGGCGATGAGCATGTACACCAGCCGAAGTGCGGCACGTACGGGAATCGAATGTACGAAGGGTTATAGGATTCGCGGAGGTGTATAACACGATTTGGCCACCGCGCAGGCACGAAGAGCTGGAATGTAGGCGCCGTAGACCTTCTTGGCAGAGGACGGGGGGTCTCTGGCGAAGATGTCAACGACCCGTTATCGTTGAGCACAAGCAGTTCGCGGTTAAGCGGAGCATATGGGCCAGATGCACTTCGGCGGGCTTCACGACGCCCATGGCGAGCCGCAGATGTCTATGAACGTGCTGCAAGTCGCACAGGAGAACGCGGAGGAGTCTCCAGAAGCAACGGGAAGGATGTCGTAGGACTGGCAGGTAAACGACGACTAACCGGACTGCGAGTTGCAGCACTCAGATCCTGCGATGATGGCAAGTTCGACTTGTCCTTCGGCACGCGATCCGTGAGCCCGGGCGATAACCATGGAGGCGTAGCAGTCCCTGATGACGCCAGATCGGACTCTGAGCTCTGGCTATCGGGTACTTCCTTGGTCTCCGGCGATGCCCTGCCCTGCAT